CTGCCATACTTTGAGGTCCATGCAGACAATGAAAACCGACATAACACACCCACCATCTCCTACCTCAAGGCGGTTCATGTACATGTGTTCATGACAAAGATATCAATTCTCAAAGGTGGCACTGTGCAGGTATGAAGTGTTGGAGAAAATAACACTTGTCAAAAACTCATTGCAACTTACTTCACCCCTTTACCAAAGCCAAGATAATGGTTTAAGTCTGAGGTCTTTTTAAATCCTGAACCTTCAAATTGATGAAGAGACAAAGCAAGCACCTTCTAGTAGAGTCCTTTAAAGAACAGCAGTATGTGGTCATTAGGAGTTTCTGCCCTTGAAAGCAAATTCCAGAAACTGCCTGTGGTCTGGATGTAATGCTCGATTTTAAAAAAAGTCGGCGGGATCAATCTTTGCATATCAATTGCCTGGGCTGTCAGAAACTGCCCAGATTAAGAAACTGTCTCAGTATCACTATCCTGATTTTGTACATGTAAAGGTAGTTGGGCGACAGTGGCATCTGATTCAGGAGTTTGCCCAGCAATCAAAGGGTCATGGCTTCAAACCCCATTTCAAATGTGGGAAAAACACATCCCCCATATTGCCTATTGATGGTTGTCAGAGGGCCCAGTGGTGTCTGTCTACAGCAGCCTCGTCTCTGTCAGTGAGCCCATGTGCAGCCGTGGCTACAATATACAGTAGTAGCCATTAAAAATGTCCCCACTTTCCTAGATGGGCCCTTGGCTAGTCCCCTACAATTCCTTTTTAAACACCTAAAATATTCTTTCTCTCAGGATTTGTGAACATTAAGATGTAAAGAGAAACATCATCTCCTGGTCAGAACCTGTAATTCAGGGAAAGGCTGGAGTCAGAGTAAAAAATATGCATCCCCATGAGAAGGCCAGTGGCTGAAAGTTGGAGGGGATTTTGCTGACATTCGACAGGCTTTTGACTGGGAAGGGCCATTTTGAATGGCTGCTTCTGTAGCTTGCCACCATCTCTGTTTGTGAATGGGTGAATGAGTTAATGTAGTGCAAACACTTTGGTCAAGTCTTGTGACTTCAAAAATTGCTATATAAGTACAGACCATTTGCCATCTTGTTTTAAAAAGGTAAAATTATGTTGATGATGAGATAAAGCCTAACCCCCTTCTTTGGAATAACAAAGTAATGGCTATACCAATATTGTTTATTTCCGAAGAGGGAACCATGAAGCCTGTATCTTTTGCCAGAAACGTTTGTTACTGCTTCTATAGTGGTAATTATAACCAAGAGAAAAAAAAGGGTGGTTTCATCCAGAACTACTGGTGGTAACTCACAGAAGTGGTCTTGAGTACCCCTCTATGAAGGTCTGCACTCACAGACAGGGACTGCATACTGTCAGCATACTGCCCATAGAATGTGAACAACGGGTCGTTCCAAAAGGATGTTAGCTTTGAGACAGCCCCGAAACACTGGCTAGCTTATAACCTTAGCTGGTTTCCATAGAAGATAAGTTCTAAGGATCAAAATGGTTTCTAACCAGGAGGAACCTGTAACTACAGCACTGTAACTAAAATACCCTTTAAGGTATTCTGCAATTCTTAGATATTGCTTAGGTCCAACACAGCTATATCAAGTTGCTTGATTACCTGCTTCGATGAAGCAAAGTTCTCAATAGTCATGCCAAGAACCTTATTATTTGATTCAGTGTTTGACAGCAGAGACATTTCCAAAAAGTGCAGGACACTGGCCTTCAAGGAGTCTGACAAATACTAGAGAGATTTTTTTCTCCAAGTTTTAAACCTCGTTTTTAAGAAATTGGAGAAGTGGTGATTTATTAACAATATTTTTTGTTTGCAATTATCTTGATTCATTTTTTCCACACCTGCTTTTTCCATACAGGTAAATGGGACCAACGTTAACCTTCCAGTGAGTCCAGCCCCTGGCGTCTCCGTTTTCAAGTCAGGAAAACATTATACTGTGTCCACAAACTTTGGCTTGACTGTTCGCTACGATGGAAACCACTTCATGGACATTAAAGTGATCAAGGAGTGAGTTATGACTTTACGTGATATTGATTTGTGTTCCTCCACTAAATTAACTGTTGACCCTTTATGGTTAAACTCTCAAATTCATGTAGTCAAAAGAGCAAAGATCTCTGAGTGAATTCTTTCACTGGTTTACACTTCTTTATGATGTTTAAGTGAATATTTTCTGTAATTTGCAGCTATGAGGATATACTGTGTGGACTGTGTGGAGATTATAACGGAAATACCAAAGATGACTTCCGGAAACCAGATGGAGCCTTGGCAAGCAATGCAAATGAGTTTGGCGACAGCTGGAACACTGATCCAGAGTGAGTATTGAACGAATGCAACAATCCAGGAAAACCAAGAGAAAATGTATTTCTTCAAGTTAATTTCCTCATTATTTTCTATCCTAAATGATTTTCCCTCCATGCATCATTTTCAAAACAATACAGAGAAAATTTCCTCTGGTGCAGCAGTTGTTTAAGGTTTTTCTTTTGTAATCAAACAACAGTTTTGTTATCCAATTAATTCTGCTCATTTTGATTCAGTACAAGTTACTTGATTTAGCATCTTCTATTGGCATAAGAATGCTAAACAATGAACCTGACTTGTGTTGACAGGTGCAATAAGAAACCTAACAATACCATTCCTGGATGTACTATAGAAGAGGAGGTGCTTTATGAGAGTTCTGGATACTGTGGTATCCTGCTGGACAAAGACGGTCCCTTCGCTGCCTGCCACCCTAAAGTCAGCCCAAATGTAGGTGGTGACTAGTAGGAGCTTTTTATCTGTCTAACAGCTTTTCATTTATTTATAAATACAAAGTAAAAAGCACTGCTTATAAAACCCATGTAAAACCATATCATGTGTCGAATTAGGAAATCTTCATTGACTAGTAAACACTGATTGGTTCTTTCTGCTTTCTGGGAGAGACTTTGACGTTAGATCAGAGACACCATTCAGCGTAGTAACTAAGAAAATAAATTCTATGTTTTCAGAATTACTTCAGGGACTGTTTGTTTGACCTATGTGAACTGGGTGGAGCCAGACCCATTCTGTGTGAAGCTATTGAGGCCTACGTCAATGAGTGCCAGGACCGTGGGGTTAACATCAGACCCTGGAGAAATAATACTTTCTGCCGTGAGTATTGGCTTTTTGCAATGAGATGAAAGTTAAAATGAAGGCTGTTATGGTTTATAATAGTGAGTTAAATGCCCAGGAAAGGTGGCAGCCCCCTTCCCTAGGCTGCCACCTTTTCGTGGTGGATGAGTTTGAGTTTCCCAATGGCCCTAGGAGTTAGGATGTCAGGGGCTTTATGCATCTAGTAGGGTCACCCAAGGCAGACAGGTCTTAGGTGAGGGCTCAGAGAAAGAGCAGCCCAAAGACCCCTTATTATGAGTACAACAAATGGATGTAGTGTTCCATCTCCTTGATGTGGGTCACCAGGGCCCCACCCTGGAGCCAGGCCCGAAGGTAGGGCTGGCTGCCTAGTGCCTGGTGGCCAGGCTTTTACTCAGGGTGCCTGGTCGGGAACAGCTCAAAACATAAACATGGGTCTCCTTTCCAATGGGCTCACCACCTGTCAGAGGGCCAAATGGATCGGATGCATTGTGTAATAGGTTGCAATCAAGGGTGTGTCAACAATGAGTGGTGAGGTTGCTTGAGGACCCAGATGCAGAGACGAGTGAAGCAGAGATGAGTTTTGACAGATTTAATTGAAGAACACAGGTAACAGAGGCAGCAATCCAGAAATTCAATGTGATTCAATCCATTTAAAATATTGAACAAATCAAAAAACATTTAGACATCAGGGGAAAACAAGCATGAGGAGCCAGGGAGAGACGAGCTGAGAAGACAACTACAGCAACGACAAGGAACCAGCACTGAGTGACTGCAGAGGTGGAGTATTTAAGGACAACCAAACAAAGGATAGACTAACGAGCTGATTAAGGAGCAGATGTGGGTGGAACTGGCAAGAAGGAATCCAAGGGGAAAGAAAACAACCACAAGGGGGCAACAGAGAGTAACTAAAGAATGCTCGAATATAATAGAAAATAAATCAAAGAACAAAACAGAACAGCTGATAACAGAAAACTGAAAACTCAGAGTCATAACAAATGGGAAGAACCATAACAGGGTGTGGACCTTGCCATTCTGATCCTCGTCTGAAGAAGCATACTCCTTGGACATGGAATGTCACCTCTGTGCTGAGGAAGGAGTGTGAGCTAGTGTGCGAAGTTGAGAGGTTCCAGGTAAAGATAGTCTGACTTACCTCAATGCAATGCTCTGGCTCTGGAACCAGTCTTCCTGAGAGCGGCTGGACATTCTTGCACTATGGAGTTGGGAGGCGCCAAGCAGGAGTGGGCTGCCCCTCATCTTGGTGCCATCGGGGTTCACCCCAGTGAAGAGAGGGTGGCCGCCCTCCGCATACGTGTGGGGGGACAGGTTCTGACTGTAGTTTGTGCTTATGCGCTAAGCAGCAGTTCATATTACCCACCCTTTTTTGAGTCTGCCCATGTTGGCAATAACATTGAGCCTTGGAAAGGCATGGTTGGAAGGAATGGCCCAATCTGAACTCGAGTGGTGGTTTGTTGTGTGACTTCTTTGCTCTTCATGGATTGTCCATAACGAACACCATGTTCAAGCATAATGGTGTCCATTCATGCACTTGGCACAAGGACACCCTAGCCATAGTTTAATGATCGACTTTGTTGTTATTTTATCTGATCCGGGGCCACATGTCTTGGACACTCGGTCAAGAGAGGGGCTCTCCCTTAGAGATAAGGTGAGGAGCTTAGTCATCTGGGAAGGACCGCTGCTCCTCCATGCCAAGAGGAGCCAGATGAGCTGAGGTGGCTCAGGCATCTGTTCAGGACGCCTCGTGGAGGCCTCTTTGGTGAGATGTTGATGCATGTCCCGTTGGGAGGAGACCTAGAGGGTGACAGAGGACACGATGCAGGGTCTGCTGGCCCTGAAAGACCTTTGGGATTCCCTCTGAGGAGCTGGCCCAAATGGCTGAGGAGAGGTACATCTGTGCCTCCCTACTGAAGCTCGCAACCCCACAACCCGACACTGGATAAGCAAAAGAGTATGGATTGATGGAGTTAAATGAGTGATTTGAAAAAAATCCTTCATACAAAATCGACTTTACCAAAGCCTCTAGTAACTGATTAATACTGTTAGAGACTTTTTAAAGGTTTAAAGTACTTGCTTAGAGATGATTATAACATCTAAATACTGGTACTAGTCTAGAAAGTACCCTGATGGTTAATATAAGATGTCTAATGCATGTCTGCCTCTATCTGGGTTGTATAATTGACTCTTCCCTGTTTTGTTATATCTAGCACTGAACTGCACCGCCAACAGCCATTTTGAGCCCTGTGCTGACCCCTGTCAAGAGACCTGCTCTGGAAAACCTCCCTCNCCAACAGCCATTTTGAGCCCTGTGCTGACCCCTGTCAAGAGACCTGCTCTGGAAAACCTCCCTCCTGTGGTGGACCATGCTCTGAGGGGTGTGTTTGTGATCCTGGTTACGTCCTAAGTGCTGGAAAATGTGTCCCGAAGAATACCTGTGGCTGCACACACAGCAATGGCCAGTATTACGAGGTACAGAGAGCTGGGCATGAATGGCCCAACTGGCAATCCATTGGAGTATACCTTGCTTATGTTTGATGACTAAGCTTTATTCAGAGCCATAGCCAAAGATAAATGTTTAACTTTTAACCTGAAGATCAAGTATTAATTAATTGCTTGACTGATCAGTTGATGAATCTGCATTAATGTGCTTTGTAAGTTTTGCAATTAGAGATGATTCCTACTGAATAACATTTGTTCAGGGAACAACTGGCTAAAACAATCCTATTGTCTTAGATTCTAAAGGATCTTTTCTGATTTTCAGCCTGGAGAGGAGTTTTATTTGGAGGACTGTAAGCTGAAATGTAGGTGCGATTCACCCTTTGTCACCTGTGTGGCCTCTGAGTGTGCTCCAACCCATGAGTGCAAAGTCCAGGATGGAGAATTAGGCTGCTATCCTAGTAAGTTTATATCTTCTGAGTGTCGAGAAAGTTTTAATATAATCCTAGGTTCACACTGACTGTTGTGTGGCTGCAGTGGAGATTCCTCAAGGATATCAAATTAGTGTGCATATTCAAATTAACAATGGTTCAGTGCAGGTGCAGTTAACAAGGCCATGCAGCACATGGAATGATTTCAATGGAAGTTTTGCCCAGACGACAAATTAAGCAGCAAAATTTTATGAGCTAAACAGTAAAAAAAAATGGCTCCAGAAAGGAAAGATTCCAGTTAGTTTTAGAATTAAAGTCACCCCACAATTTTTAGGTACCTTCCCTAGTGTAAAAGGGAAAACCAAAACAAGAGCAAAGAGGGGCTATTTGAAGATGAAAGGTCATTTAGGGGTACCCATTAGTGGTTTTATGCTGGTATTCCCAGAAAGTGCATAACCAAATTAAAGTTTAAGCAGTCAGAGCCATATCTCAGACACTCAGGCCATAGTCCCAATGTTAGTAGCATTTTGGGGTAAGTCCGTATTGGACCAGGAGTGTAATACAAATCAGTCAGTCATCAGTTTTGGCCTGGCTTATTATTTGAAGCTGGGAACATATCTCAGTTGAACCAGACATGGTAAATTGAAAGATTGAAATAAGAAAAAAAGAAGACTTCAGTGTTATTTTATTTAAAATATTTTGTTTCAAAATAAAGAAATGAGGGTCAGTTATTTGTGATGTTTTTATATTACATTTTTCAAGTTAAATTTAAATTTGTTATGAGAACTCTTCAACCAACTATGGGGAAGCCAACCACTATTCCCAATGTTTCCATTACTTACTGCCCATTTCCAAATGTGTTCTTCTGTTTTCTTTCTTCTGTGAACAGAACCCTGTCCACCAAATGCAGAGTTTATTGAATGCGGACCATCCTGTATCCCATCGTGTCAGGAACCTTCCACCAACTGCTCTGGACCCTGCGTCAGTGGTTGCTTCTGTAAACCTGGATATGTCTTCAAGGGAAAGCGTTGTGTTCCTCTAGAGAAATGTGGCTGTTTGGATGATGGCAATAACTATTATGAGGTAAGGTGGCATTTTATGTTACAATTATTTTGAAAAGGAATAGAGATATGTCAATGAACAGCAAGTTAGTTCTGGAATCTTTAGGGTGAGTCCTTTTACTGATTTCCTGTTCCATCTAATTTCAGCCTGGTGAGATAGTATCAGGAGATGGATGTTCAAAGCTTTGCCGCTGTCTGGGGAACTACACTTTTGACTGCGTTGATAACTCCTGTGATCCCACCGAAGAGTGTCGAGAGGTCAATGGTGTTTCTAGCTGCTATCCTAAAGGTAATGATGTCTTGTTGAGCCTCAGATTTGAGAATTTTCAGCAAGTGATTAGTTCATAAAGACATACGTCACTCTGAGGCACAGTTGGAACAAATGGTTTGTATCTAAATCACTTAAAAGAAGCTTCAGATGAACAGTTTATTGATTCTTCTTCCTCTTAGATTCATCAACATGCATAGCATCTGGAGATCCTCACTACACAACCTTTGACAAACGCAAATACAACTTCATGGGCAACTGCAGCTACCTGATGTCTGCACCCTGCAATCACACAAGCCTGCCATACTTTGAGGTCCATGCAGACAATGAAAACCGACATAACACACCCACCATCTCCTACCTCAAGGCGGTTCATGTACATGTGTTCATGACGAAGATCTCAATTCTCAAAGGTGGCACTGTGCAGGTATGAAGTGCTAAACTCACTACCTCTCTTTACTAAGATAAAAGTAATGGTATATGACAGGGGTCTTTAAGGTTTTTCCGCTGCCAAACCCTTATATCAATGGACAGAGCATTGACCCAATAGTCAAATCCCTTAGTGAATTGCAATATGAGATTCTAGCAGACTTCCCAATAAAACAATTTTCAGAAACTGCCTGTGGCCAGGGTGTAATGCTCGTCAAAATCAAGAGTCTGTAAGATTGAATGTGGCCAATGAAAGATGTGCAAAGTTCCTTTGCATGTACAATGCAAAACTTTGGGTGCCTCTGATTTAAGCTGGTTTTGTGGTTGCCATAACCTGTATGACTGATACACTTGCACAGGTATGCAAAAGTAATTGCTTAAACTCTCAACTCCAGGGTTGGACAAAGTCTAAAATAATTTTTAGGAACGATAAAAAAGCGGCAGTACCATCATATTTCTGTTCCTTTTTCCATAGCAAAGTGTTTATTTCTACCCCCAGAACATTTGCTGCTGTGGTTACTAAAGTTCCATCGATAAGTGAGAGGAAACAGGGTAGTTTCCTCCAGATGTGCAACCACTAACCCACTGCAGTGGTCTTCAAAGGCTAGGGGGAGGGTGTGCATGCATGTCACAGACAGAGTTAAGCCAACAAATGCCTCACCTGCAAGACTGTTGATCAGGATTTTACACAGTTAACCTGACAATGAATGTGTGAACAGTGTAAAGGCAAGGCTTTGTGTTTATGTATGAAGAACTTTAAGGTATATAATCCTGAAGAAAGCAAGTAAACCTTTTAATCACAGATAAATGAAAGAGAGCCAGGTCCCCATATTCCTAAAACCCATCTTTTGTCAGTCTTGCTGCTATAGAAGCACAGAATATTTTTTGTCCGAGATATAGGAAGAGGACGACTCGGAGGAGAAACTTGCTTCAGGCTATGTTGCAGGGAACATGCCTCTGTCGACTTGGAAAAACCTTGTGCTGAAAGGCATAATCACTGTTTCCCTCTTCTGTGCCAGCGGGCCACTAAACAATTTGTATGTGCTTGCATTTGGTATAGTTTTTTGGTCCGCTCTATAAAGCCTTAAACTCAACGCTATTTCTGACATTTTGAATTGCAAAAGCTTCCTGGATGGAAAGCGAAACGTCTTCAAACTTGGAAACAATGGTTCATCCATATACATGGCCTTGTGTCATTCTGGAACATCAGAGGTGGTAGTCTATTATGCAATAACCTTTCTCCTTCTGCTTAGAGCCAGGTAAGCAGTCCAGGATAGTTTCATGGATGGAGACCAACCAGTCAAAAGGTCATTCTCTGTAGAGTGTAAAAACAAGTCATTATGGAGACATCAGATAGGTATGTGAAGTTGGAGCATGTCATTAGTCGTCACCACGTCATTTGCTGAGGAGTTGGATTATCGGGGGCTTCAGCCAGGACATCTGGGGCATATCATCCGTAGTCATGAGTTGCACTTAGTTAATCAACTAAATTGATCAAAGTAAATCTTAAATTTAGGTCTTATGGCGTTTCATGAAAGGGCTGCATGGTGGGTAGCCCTGCTGCCTTGCAGGAAGACAGTTCTAGGTTTGATTCCCAGCTAGGGTCTTTCTGCATGGAGTTTGCATGTGTTGGTTCTCTTGCGGTACTCCAGGTTCCTCCCACAGTGCAAAAACATGAGTTTTGTTTTCATCAAACCCCGCATTATGTTTGTGGCCCCTTTGTGGGTCACTACCCCAACGTTGAAGACCTTGGAATTGGAAATTGGAGATTTAGTGGCGATATTTTGTCTGTGAATTCATCTCGATTCATTTTTTCCACACCTGCTTTTTCCATACAGGTAAATGGGACCAATGTTAACCTTCCAGTGAGTCCAGCCCCTGGCGTCTCCGTCTTCAAGTCAGGAAAACATTATACCGTGTCCACAACCTTTGGCTTGACTGTTCGCTACGATGGAAACCATTTCATGGACATTAAAGTGATCAAGGAGTGAGTCACGACTTTACATAATTTTAATTTGGGATCCTCGACTAAATATAGATCTCCCTGTAGTTATTTTCTATCGTAGATTAACTGTAGATTTCTAATGGTTAAAGTCTGAAATTCTTGGACATTATTTGACATTGTGGCAAAAGCAAAAAGATCTCTGAGTGAATTGTTTCATTGGTTTACACTTCTATATGATGTTTGAGTGAATATATTATGTGAACTGCAGCTATGAGGATATACTCTGTGGACTGTGTGGAGATTATAACGGAAATACCAAAGATGACTTCCGGAAACCAGATGGAGCCTTGGCAAG